AACTACCCGAAAAATGGCATCAGAAAAATTGGCTCTTGCATCATGACAACGCACGGCCACATACGGCCGTCACTGTACAACTCTATTTGGCTAAACACGGAATTGCTTTACTACCCCAGCCACTCTATTCTCCTGACCTTGCTCCCAACGACTTTTTCCTTTACCCTTAGATAAAAAAAAAGTCTTAAAAGAACGTCGATTTGACTCAATACCTGAAATAAAGAATAATACGAAGAATATTTTGAAAAGCCTGAAAGATGAGTATTTTCAGAGGTGTTTTGATATCTGGAAAAAAAGATGGAACAAGTGTATTATTGATCACACTATGTATATATACGGCTTAATGCTTTGGTATGGAATCCGTTTTATCTGAGTTCTGATTGGCTGTTGGCTATCACGTGATCTTAGCTATCCAATCGACGTCTTACTTTAGGGCACACTGGACTAAGTTGACTTTAACAACTAGAGTTTGAAGCTTCCTTTTTTTTCAATTTTATTTGAGAATTCGAATTTTATTACTTCGACACAATTTTAATTATTTTTGAGACTTTGCGTCACATGTATGAATAGGTCTCAATGCTTTAAGTTATAGCAATTAAGATGAAACTTTAATAAGGCTTAGAACTGGCTGTCATTCTAAATCCGTTCACTTGTAGAACGGAGCCATGTCATATTTAGTAATGAGAAACTAATGAAAATATAATCAAAAGTGGCGCCTTTAATTCTCAATTCAGACGATATTAAAACATTTCGTTTGATGTTAAATATAATCTCTACTCTGCGCATATATATTTTAAATAACACAATTTATAAATATATTATTTAATATATTATATAGGATTCAAATTTTACATTTGATAAAGGATTTTTAGAGTATACACAATATATATATATATTATATTATATATATTGACCAAATATACAAGCACTTGTATTATCTAATATAGAATGTGAGAAAATCATGTTTTTTACTTTAATATAATTACGATATTAAATTATGCGAAGATATTATATTTTTACATGTTTTAAATATATGTTTTCCTTCTTTGCTGTTAATCAAATAATATATTCTGAATAATAATTAATTTATGCGACAAATTTATCCTAACATTTAGAACACACTATTTCTTTTACTTCTATATTATACCTTTCGATTATAATTCAGATTATATTCTCGTGCTATGTTCTAATTTTACTATATTTATTTGATTGCATTTTATTGAATTTAAGCGGATACAAGCTGCTCCTCGCTATTCTATGATTGAATGAGCGCTCGTTTCCCAAAGGGCGAACCCCAGCTTTTGACGATTGAAAACCACACAATGTTCTTGTAAGTCTTCACTAGGACTTGTTTGTCTTCTGCGCCATTGTTTTATTCGTCGTTGTTGCTATATTTATTTGACGTTATATCAATATATACTCCAACATTATAACACTCTTAATACTAATATTAAATATATAATATATCTGACATATTATATATAAAATGCTCATTTGAAAGGTCAGGATATGCTTTTTTAGTATCAACACCTGACCTATTTATATATTTTCTTATTTTTATTACACACATATATATTATGTATTGTCGGAGTATAAATGTATAATAATAAAATTTTAAACAGGTATTTTAATTGATGAAAAGTGAGATAAATATTTATATAAGTGGGCGATTTTGTTTTCGTTGTTTACATTCGTTAGCCTTTGATTATATTTTGAGAAAAAAAAAGAAAACTAATGCAAATTCGATATATTTTCGTAATATATTATTCAACATGAAATATAAAAAAATTCTAGTCAAAATTCTTTTATTAGTTTTCTTTTTTTTTTTATTAACTAATTACTTGAATTAAAAAAGAAACTAAATTGATTGACTGTATAAAACGTGAAGTATATCTTATAATTAGATATCTTCTCGTTTTCTATAAGCTTTTCTTTTTAGCTTCCCTTTCATTTAACCAATTACTGCGAGTCAATGAAAAGTATTTTAAACTGTCAATTGTCTAAAACAGAAATGATAAAATAGTTACCTGCGCCTAGGTGAAGCGTGGAAAACCTTTGCCCTATTTACATATTTACAACAAGTCCAAATTTAAAAAAATAAATGAATATTGTTTGCAGCGGCGCCATCTAAATATACAGCAGCCGACTTCAGAATATTTTCCCTCTCTCTAAGAAAGAAAAAATAAAACAAATAAAATTACAAATTCTATTTACTCTATTATGTTTATACATCTATGACGTGGAAAAAAAACTTACTAAATATCAAATAATATTGCCAAAGTTAAAAATGTAATAATCGTTATAATAAAAGCAATAAACAACAAAAACATTTTATTTCTCCGCGTGCACCATTCGCTTTATGAGAACTCTGCACGTTACCTCACTCAAACTATCTACAAAGGTTACAAGGTTGTTCTATATGGTGTAACATGTGATGGATTGGTAGCTTGGTTTTGGTTAAGTTGGAGATAAAATTGAAACTTCTTCACTTTTTGATTCTGAGGCTAGGATTTAGCATGTTTGATGGCTCCAAGAAATCGAAGGTTGCTTTGAATGTTCTAAAATTAAAAACAATGAATTGAAATGGCGACATTTATATGAATGGTGTCAATATTACAAAGTTTTTTATTTCCATATTTTAAAAATATCAATGAAACAATTATATTGAAATTTAACATATATTTTCGGGTAGTTGGCGATGTTTGGATACGCTCCTGGGTTATGCCTATATGTTTTATACGCAACTATCATAATTTTAAAATTAATTAATCTTTCTTAATAACTGATGTTTCTCTCTTAGATCATGAATTTATGTTATCTAATATTTTATTTTTTAAATTAAAATAAATGATTTAGAATTCTATTCATTTTTATAAAATTTCACCTCGAAATTCATACTTCATATTAATATCTATTGAAAAAACATAGGTACAAAATATATGATATATTTATCTATAGTCTGCGTATTATATCATCTTCTACATAAAATATTAGATATTATATTAACAATATACATTAAAAAAAACTCACAATATATATAGATATAATTACCAAATTATTTTTGAGACAGCGTAAGACTAGGATTAAAAAGCAGAAGAAAACTCTTCCGAATCAATTATAGACTTGGAGGGAAAAAGCAGACGAAAGTGTAATTAAGAATTTAAAATGTATAAAAAAGTAGGCAGGCCTTACCATGATCCTTTAATTATAGAATTTCTTTTTTTTTTTTTTACTTTTCGAAGTTACTCAGTCGAACATTAAATAAATAATGCCATTAATATATATTTCTTGTAGAATAAAATTAAATAATAGGAGAACACAAGATTAAAAAATAGAGATATAATAATTTAAAAAGATTATTGCTATTTATTAAATTTGATATTTATAAAGCGGTAAAAATATATAAAGAATATTCTATATGAAATATATTCTCGGGTATTTTTTATTTCATCATAAGCAAGCTGTAATTTAAATTTATAAAACCTATTTTACGATTAAATATACTATATTATTATGAATTAATTATGTGCAAAAATGTACTTAATTCTAACACGTTTTATTTTATATAGGATTTTTTATAGAGAATTTCTCATTACGCTTTTTATAAATAATTCTATAAAGAATTAAATTTTAATTTTAGATGAATCACTTAAGCGATTGAAAAATTACTAGTTTCTATAATATACAGAAATATATAATTAACATTTTAAAATAATTATTTAAAATATTTTTAAAACAATTTCAAAGGTATTGGAAGTTGAATGGCCTCGACACCGCTTGGGGCGCTTGATATCTAAATAATCATCTTTATTTAGCTTGTTTATTTTTCATTGTGCTCTTTATTATACCAACTAATGAGTTTTTCTTGTCTTAATGTTTGCTTTTAATTATAAATAAATATTTTTAACTTTGTATTTTATATTGATTCATCCCCTAATTGCCTTCCTATTAAGGTAAGTACAACCTTTTTCCTAAAATAATGCTTATCTGTAACTTTTTATATTTATTTAAAATATTTTCTTTATGTAAATTGACATTAAAATGTAATGAAAATTTAATTAAAATATCTATTATATTTTAAATAACCATATACTTTTTCAGAATAATAAAATGCACATTTGATGCGATATTATAGATATGGCTTTAATGAAATATTAAAAATAAAATGCTTTCAAGATGTTAATTTGAAGGGATTAAAAGTCCCATTTTTACCATTGACAAACTGCTGATATAAGTTTATTTAATATTTCATAAATTCATACTTAATATCTCATATAAAATTAATGACCTTGTTTATTATATTAAGAATACCGCTGCCAACATATATAACATCTTTTGCTCGATTAAATTATAGATATATATTCTCTAAAATGAAAAACAAATATTTAATTTAATATTTAAAAATCATTCTATCTTTAAACGTTTAAAGCTTTAATTAAAATATGTTAAAATTCTGTTTCAGAAATTAAAAATGTTAAATTAAAATTAAAAAAAAAAATACTTTAATCTGTCATAATAGCAAGCATAATCTTGCCTAATTAAAATATCGAATTTATAGAAATTTGATATAAAGATTTTTACTTTAATTAATAATATACATTCTTTTTATAAAAATGCTTATTTAAATGAGGCTTAATTAAAATCAAGTAGAGATAATCAAAAGAAAAAGAAATAATCGATATAATTAAAATAATTCTTAACTTTCTTTTTAAGAAATATTTAGTTGAATATATTGAAGATATACACACCTACTCTCAATAAGATCCTATTTGAAATTTACAAGTCTCAAATATTTAATAAATCATTTTATATTATTTGAAAGGAAATTATCTTTGCAAATATAAATAGTAAAACGACATTTGAAATACTATCCCGCATGTGTTTCTTTTCAACGAAAAATCAAATTTTATTTCAAGGAGAAATGACGATTATTTCCAACCTTTTAGATGAGGTATGAAAGGGTGAATTGTGAAGAGTAATGATAAACGAAAAAATAAAAGTGTCCAGGGATGGGAATCGAACCCACAGTGTTCCGCTTACCGGGCAGATGCCATGTCCACTAGGCTACCCGTTGTTACGTTGTTTCTCCTTGAAATAAAATTTGATTTTTCGTTTAAAAGAAACACATGCGGGATAGTATTTCAAATGTCGTTTTACAATCACAAGCCGCATTATATTATATTGAAATATAAATAGTGTTGAAACTTTATTTTTAAAACCAGAAGACACAAAGTTCTCAACTTATATTATACGTATATGTTAGATAATAAAAATGCATATATTGAATTTAATAAAAGATTTATTTGCCAATCTATTGTCATTTTTATCTAATGAATTAAATATGGATTGCTCTATTTTCAAATTAATACGTACTTGGTAAAATTCAGTAAGATATATTTTATGTAAATAGTCTTCTACACAATAAAAAAGGTTATCGTATATAAATCAAATATATAAAAGTTCCCATATTAGAAAATATTAACTCAGGAATACAATATAGATTGAAAAATATTATATATTTATAAAATATTAAAAAATCTCATAAGTTTGAAAACATACTTTCAACGTTTTGTATGCAATAAAAGTTTACAAATATAAAAAAAAAGAGTCAAAAATCTACAAAACAAAGATTTCAGAAGCAAATATGACTGGATAGAAACTTCAAAATATACGTAGAATTTAATATATATTTATTTTAATTTTGTTTAATATTTAATCTCTCTATAAAATGTGCGATATATATATTGCGTGAGCTCAAAAATGTTTGTTCAAAGATATGAGGAAATCTATATATATAAAATTGAATGTCTGTCTGTTTGTCTGTACTCTATAGATTCAAAAACCATACATCCAATCGCCGTGAAATTTTGGGATATTATTAGGTATATCACCGGGAAGGTTTTTGAAAAATAATTTCATGAATATCTTTAATATCCTTAGAGTTATTTGCAGATTTGTAGATTTAACTCGCAAGCAGCGCCCCCATTGTGACGATGATAACAGGTTTTCTTATCACTAAGTTTGTTATCTTAAATATTATTTATCAAAAGTAAGATTATCTCAGGATGACACGGCAATGTGACACGGGAAAAAATGTTCACTAGATAAAACTATGATTTTCTAATGTAGAAAATTAGGAAAGACAAAATTCAGGATGACACGGCACACAGGGACCGGGAAAAAATGTTCACTTTATCGAGAGATTCAAATTTACGAGTTTCAAATTATCAAAATATATCTTTTTTTTTTATATAAGTTTTTAGAGAATTGTTTTAACAAATGTTCGCTAGACAAACCTTTACTCGGGTTAAACCTCGGGCGAAGCCGGGTACGTCCGCTAGTAAAAGATAAACGTTATAGCTATATTTAACGATACTTTATATAAGTTTACTTGTGCAAACTCCTATTTATTTTAATAATATTGTTTCAAATATATTATTGCTATCTCACACACACGTGACTTTCGAAATTAATATCACACAAGACGTGGATATTTCTCCTGATAAATTATTTATTAAATGTCTATTACCTTTTTACAGAAAGAATCCCGAGCACATATTTGTTTTAGGGAAAGGTTCTCGGTTAGAATTTGCTAAATAAAATATTCATTTTTTCTCCGTACAGGAGATACGAAGAAAACAAATTGCGCAGGGATTCAGCTTCTGGTCAACGATAAATAAGTTGACAATTTCTCGATATACCAGTATATACTCATTTGTTAAAAATAAATAAGGCATTTCCTGACCACACGAGCACATGTGCTTTTTAAATGGCAGAGCGCCATCTAGTGGAGCAAAAATAAACTAAACGCTTATATAACTTGCTCCGTGATATTTGGTCAACCCAATTTCTTGATAAATCAAGAAAAGCCATCCACGAACGCGTTTACTCATTTATACGCAAATTGTTATTATTATTAATAGTTTTATAATTTAAATAAATAAATAAATGCTTTTTAGCAAATTCAACCGATTTTTATAGCATTGGATGTTATGAAATCGAAGCCTCCCCTGTACTGATGAGAGCCATAGTCCGAAACTATGGTAAAAGGGTTGTTTAAATTTGTCATAGCTGGTTTTATGGCTCATTCTTAATCACCAGCTTTACGTTTTCTAATGGGGTGTTGAACAAAATGCTTTATTTTTGTTGGAATTATTCTGTGACAGAAGAACAAAAAAATTAAAACTTTTATAAAAGCGAAGAGTTACTTAATTCTTTAAAGGCACAATTACACCATGACTATGTAAAATTAAAAGCAGCTACATAGACTAAATAAATATATCTAGATGCAACTCTTTTCATCTAACAATGACCTGAACTATGCTTACATACACACAAGCAGATATGTAAATTAGCATAGACAAAAATGGTCAAATATAAATTACTTACAGATTAATACTTCATAGAAATATTTGAATTTCTTGCAAGTTTTAATGCACATTTTAAAGAAAGAGTTTCTACTCTTGGTAGATGAATCCTTCCGCAACTTTACGTTATATATATGAAAAAACGTTTTATTTAATTCACAAAGTAAGCTACCTCTTATATAAGGCGGGGGCCAACAAAATCGATCCGTTCATTAGATTACTACAGGAGGGAGGGAAATTGGGAATGTATTCGTTAGGGAAGAAGACTACGGAGGAAACAAAATGAGGCCAAATAAAGAAATGGTGCCCCATCAAATGTCATTAGTTGGTGACAGACAGGAGGAATATATTAATGAAATATTCCACCACTCTGCCTTTTTTTTTTTAGGGTTATAGGAGCGCGGTAAAGTGGCCCTCTTGGGAAATTAGCCGCATTTTCTTGTAGCGGTGGGTCGGCTGGAGGTTAATGTGGAGGTAGCTTCTTTTTTGGCAGCTAGACAGCTTGGAGGTTCTCCTAGATTAAACAACACGGTAATTCATATAGTCTCTCTCTCTCTCTTTTAAAATACCCAATATATAAGGCCTTTGTTTTAGGAGTAAGAATTAAAAAAACGGAGTTTTTTTTATATTTTTTATCCGTAGTCGAGATAATATAGTCCTGTGGTTCTACGCTAACGAAGGCCAAAAGCCCGAAACACCTATATACTTGGTTATATTTTATCTCAAAATAATTTCAGGTATTTTTGATAATGGCAAAGAGAATCTATATACCACAGTTTATTAAAATATTCTGTAATAAGATCTTCAGATAATGTTTGATATTTTACGAGATTCTCTCTTGGATAATATTCAATAAAATTCTCATAATATGGTATATACTTGGTTGAATTTTTTTTTTTCACTCAGAAAAAGTTTATTTTTTAAACCGCTATTATGGAAAAAAAATATATAATAACGACTCATTTTTTCTAATAAGAATAGTTTCAAAATTGCGAGTCTCCTCTTTAACTCTGTATGAAAATATAGAAATATTCTGGGATTAAATGACCAATTTACTAGATTGTATTTACACACGCACACAATTATTGTATATATTGCGTGTCTCTTTTATTTTTAAACTGGTCTATATAATATCGGTGATGCAAAGTTTCAACTCGGAAGCGGATGGAAGTTGGGACTTGAGTTTTGGAGTATTTATTCATGAACTCTTTAAAACTGAATTTCAGCTTTCTATCTCGAAGTTCCTTGGAGTTACAAGCCAAAAACAATCATTTGTACAGATGCATCAGAGACGCAATGTGCGAGCGAGCGAGTGCTTCACGTGGCCTCCCTGCTTCAGCGGCTTTTAAAGTCAACCTATAGGACCGGCGACTTTCCACTTCCTTAGGTTTTGTCCATGAGTGTATATACATATTTAAAGAAGATTTCAAGCTAATATGTAAAGCGATATTTTTGTCCATGAGTGTATATACATATTTAAAGAATATTTCAAGCTAATATGTAAAGCGATATTTTTGTCCATGAGTGTATATACATATTTAAAGAATATTTCAAGGTATTGTGTAAAACGATATTTTTGTCCATGAGTGTATGTACATATTTAAAGAAAATGTTAAGTTAATGTGTAAAACTATATTTTAAATAGAATAAAGCTGAGAGCAGATATCAAATAAGTTTACTATTTTATATCTGCGCTCAGCTTTATCCAAATACGTTTACTATTTATATTGATTAAGATATATTCACATTTTTCTGTCCCATGTACGATGGATATATGTGTTCTATTCAATATGACAACAAATAGTCGAAAATATGGAATAAAAAATAAACCGGTTTCCAAGAATGAGTTTCTTGTTTTATTCTATATTTTATTCTCAAGTTTTCGGATTTTAAAATTCCTTCTATAGAGAAATATATGTATAATCCTATACTCCTGTAGAAGGGTTTGTTAAACACGAAAGCTTATGAATAAAAAAGAATAAAGCAAATAACATCCTCGGAAACTGGTTTATTTATTATTTTATATATTGCAGATAATTTTACTTTTCCGCGTTGAAAAATAGAGCATAATTCGCGCCTGTTTCCATTCATACAAGCTGTTCTTTTAAAAATACATATACTAAATGTCTGTGCCTTGTGTGACTACAATCTTATTAATCAATAATTTATTCAAATTTGAACTTTTATAAAACACCTATCCCCCCTTTCATTAGCTTCCATTTATGTATGGCCAGTTCCCAAGAGAGTCCTTGCTGTAATTTGTATAGGTTGCCAGGCAGCTGACAGGGACGGATAGTTTGACAAGTTGCCCCCTGGCGGCAGCTGCTAGACGGAATAGTTAAAATAGTTTAGTAGAGGCGATCAATTACGTCGTTTATTAACTCAGCCCGTCACCTTGTTGGACGTATAGCTATGTAAATAAGGAAGAAAGGTTTGTTGGCTCGGCATATACGTTTACATAACCCATAGCCCGATTAAAATTTGGGATAGCAATTGACCACTATATGAGGATATTGGCAGGAATGGCTGTGAACCATGGTCGAACACAGAGTCAAATAAACAATGGTCGACTGGAGAGTATATAGGTACGTTAATTCCATAACAACAAAAGTCGCTGGTTTAAATTTAAGAGATTACTTATCTGTTATAACGGTAGCTTTCTCTCTCTTTATATATTAAAGCATTATAACCTTCCATATGAGCCCTTTCCC